ACAATGAATCAAAGAAATACTGATGCTTCGATCGATCATTCAATAATCTGCATGCTGAACATGCGAAAGTAGAGTCTATTTTTCAAGACTTGAATTTGCGACTTTGAATTCAGACTAAATTAACTCAACTTGCTATAAGGATAAAACATTTGTAATTTTCAAAACTCTTCAATTGAAAACTCGAACATAAAACATGTGATTAAAAACGAACGTTCGGAATAATGGTGGGGGTGGGGGGTGGGGTTGAGGAACCTTAGAAAATTGAGAATGATGAGATGGATGAGGGAATAAAAGGGGGTATAGTTATCATGCGCATATTGCTTTTATAATGGGAAGTGTTGGTCCGGAATTAAGAAACCACTTTAATTTGTTATTTTCAAACAATTATTATTATTATAATAATAATAATAATAATAATTAATATTATTATTATATACTATACTTTTGGTCCCCTCACTCTAACATTCCTTGTAACACATTTCAAATATTATTCTAAGATTTCATTTTTTTAATTTTACTTTTAATATAATATTAACCCCTTTCTTTTCTTTCTTCCGCTTTTTACCCTTTTATATATATTTTTCATGACTATTGTAAGTTTATGATATGAGAATGAGTGTAACTCTTGTATCATGGTAGTAGAAAAGGTCAAAGTTTTTAGTTAATTTATACTAATATTGTTAATTAGTAATTTCGTTCTGTAAGTGAAGTTCACGTGTTTGAAATTATTAGAGGTCTAAGTTTACTCTGTTATGATTTCAAATTACGGTCATATTGGAACTTATTCATCGAAGATTAAGAACATAAACGAGACTTTTTTTTCCTTACATTGAAAGTAATATGTAATGTCCCATAGATTTTACATGGACCGAGCTAGAATAATGAGGAATCATGTAGAACTGAGTCATAGAATCATCATCGAAAAAAAAATACTAAAAGAGAATAAGAAAAGTTGGACAATGATGACCTAAAGCCTTGTTGCTTCATCCAAGGTGATTTATTAGATATATTATTGTTACAATTAGTTAGAAAATACCTTCACCCCATACATACTAGATAAAAGACTCGTTTAAATATTATGAGGTTATATATATATATATATATATATATATATAAGA